TAACTGCCCTCCCCTGGAGGTCTGGTCCCCCTCCCAACTGCTCTCCTCTGCAGGCCTGCCCCCCCCCCCCAACTTCCCTTCCTGCAGGCTAGGTCGCCTCCAACTTTCCTTCTCTGCCGGTCTGGTCACCTCTAACTGCCCTCCCCTGCAGGCTTGATCACCCCCAAATACCCTCCCTTGCAGGCCTGGTCCCTCCCAACTGCCCACCCCTGCAGGCCATCGTGTCCACATGCGGGCGGGATCTTTGAATACATGGGGGCAGCCATCTTATGTATTGCAGTGATTGTCAATTTGCATATTATTCTTTTATTATATAGGATTTTAATGGTGCTTTCAATAGGAAGATGAAAGGGCAACAAAAATAGAAACCTCAATTCGTGCCTTGCATCTTTATACAACAGCATTTAAAAAAATACATTTTTATTGATTTCAGAGAGCAAAGGAGAGGGAGAGAAAGAAACATCGATGATGAGTGAGAATCACCAACTGGTTGTCCCCTGTACACCACCACCAAAGGTCTAGCCCCGTATGTACCCTGACCCAGGAAATGGACAGTGAGGAACAGTGACCTGGTTCACTGAGCCACACCAGCCCCGCTACAAAATATTTTTGTGTGTGTGTCCTCCTACACAAAGGATATTCTACTTTCCTTGAAAGCATATAGAACCAAATAAAAAGTTTCTCCAGCATCAACAATAATTTCTTATGCTTCCAACTTCACTGAACACAAGAAGTAAATTAGTTAATTATGTCCAAATTCTTACCAAAATTTCTCAAATTCAAACTTCTTTTTCCAAAAGGTAACTTTTCACTAAAGTTTTAATAATAACATGAAGTCAGAATAATATCACCACAGTCTATCAGGTCAAACACAAATATTCTAGAACCATTAGTGCTAGTCTAAAGGCCCATGGACCAGTGACAGCCTGCAAACTAATAGATCCATGGGTCTAAAAGTGTTTTAGAAGCTTTAAAAACAATAATTTTTCTATTATTTGTCTTAACAGTATTATGCAAAAGTAGGACTCCAGTTGAAATTACAAAACAAAAACTGAATAATTACCACCACTTGAGCAATACATGCTCATCTTTTCCCAGACATACAGAAAATTAAGGTTCATGAGGGTAAACAAAAAGGCTACTAGATGAAAATAAAGAGGCCAAACTGTCCCTAGACACCTAGGCACCCAGATACCCAACCCAGAGTTAGAAGGAATCAAAATCTTGGCAGGGCTTAATAAGTTAACAAGCTTTGTTCTAGAAGTCACAATCTGGCATTCCAGGCTATCATCCACAAAGTGAACTCACTACACTATCCAATCTCTTATGTACTAAGAGAAATTCTATCCTACTTGCTTGGAAATTCTGTTTCAATGTTTTAAATACCAATTATAAGGTCCCTCTCTTCTAGAAATATCCATGCCTTACAAACCATACTGTATTTACTTTTCAAAGCTCAAATTATGATGCACACTTACTTCCTCCTAACTGCACTGAGATTTTCTCCTTACATGTAATCACCAAGAAACATTATCAAATACAGGGTGGTACAAAAGTAGGTTTAACCCAAGCCATATGCTCAATTAATATTTGACAAAGGAAGCAAGAGCATACAATGGAGTCAAGATAAGTCTCTTCAATAAATTGTGCTGGGAAATCTGGTCAGATACATGCCAAAAAAACTAGATCATCAACTTACACCATACACCAAAACAAACTCAAAATGGTTAATGGACTTAAATGTAAGAAGGAATTTAAGAATCTAAGAAGACTCCATAGGTAGCAAAACATCAGACATATATCGTAGCAATATCTTTACCGATACTTCTCCTAGGACAATGGAAACTAAGGAGAAAATAAACAAATGGGACTACATAAAAATAAAAAACTTCTGCACAGAAAAATAAACCATCAACAAAACAAGAAAGCCCACTGTATGGGAGAAGGTATTTGCCAATGCTATTTCAGATAAGGGTTAATCTCCAAAATTTACAGGGAACTCATACAACTTAACAAAAGAAGATAAACAATCCAATCAAAAAATGGGCAAAGGACCTAAATAGACACTTTTCAAAAGAGGACATATAGAAGGCCGAAAGACATATGAAAACATGCTTGAAGTCACTAAACATCTGAGAGATGGAAATCAAAACAATCAGGTACCACCTCACACCCGTCAAAATGGCTATCTTCAAGAAATCAAAGACAAGTGCTGATGAGTATGTGGAGAAAAAGGAACCCTCGTGCACTGCTGGTGGGAATGCAGACTGCTGCAGCAACTGTAGAGAACAGTATGGAGTTTTCTCAAAAAGTTAAAACTGGAACTCCATTTGACCCAGTAATCCCACTTCTAGGATTATATCCTAAGAAACCAGAAACACCAATCAAAAAGGATATATACATTCCTATGTTCATAGCAGCACAATTTACCATAGCTAAGATTTGGAAACAGCCTAAGTGCCCATCAGCAGATGAGTGGATTAAAAACCTGTGGTACATCTACACAATAAAATACTATGCTGCTATAAAAAGAAACAACACCATGGATAGACCTGAAGAGCATTATGCTAAGTGAAATAAGCCAGTTGGAGAAAGATAAATACAACATGATCTCTCACTCATACTTAGGATATGATGATCAACATAAACTGATGAACAAAAATAGATACAGAGATTAAGGTAGCACTGAACAGACTGTCCAACCTCAGAGAGAAGACAGGGTGGGTGGGAATGGTCGGAGATCAACCAAAGGACTTGTATGCATGCACATTAACATAACCAATGGACACTGGAATAGTGGGGGCTTGCCCTCAGGGGTGGGAGTGGCGGGGTGGGGGGGTCAATGGGGAAAAAAGGGGATATGTAATACTTTAAACAGTAAAACATTTCTTAAAGCAAGTTTATAGTTCTGAGTACACAAAACACAAGTTAATTCTTGTATTATTATTGTATTATTTTTTACATGAACTATAGACCTACTTTTGCCCCACCCAATACTTATTGATAAGTAGTGATGTATCTTATAGTGATTCCTTCTCCATTCCATTTGAATTGCTTTTTCTACTTAAGCAGATGTTAGGGTATTTTCACTTAAAAAGCAAAATTAAGTCTTCTCCTTCCATTCTGGCCTTCAAAAAAACCAGGACGGCAATATTAACTAAGAATTCATTATACTGTGCTCACTAAGTTGCTTAAGATATTTGCAGTATTGGCTCTTATATGGGGGAGGGGGGCGCTCACAATATCTTTAAAAAATCATGCTCCAAAATAAGAGTGGGGGACCTTTTCTCTGCCAAGGGCCATTTGGATATCTATAACATCATTCTCGGGCCATACAAAATTATCAACTTAAAAACTAGCCTGCTATATTTGGCCAAACCCTTAATTCACCCCAGATGCCTTGGCAGGGCCAGACCAAATTATTTTGCAGGCCATATATGGCCTGTGGGCTGGATGTTCCCCACCTCTGCTCTAGAACCAACTATCCTCATGATTCAAACTTTTTTACATTCTTATCTACTATGGATACATTATCTATGGCTCTCTTTCACTTCCACCTTCAATGAAATCCACTGTTAATTACTAATACCATCCCAAATCTTTTTCAGAGACCTTATAGATACAGTCACAGAATTTGTTTTTTCTAAACCACTTAACTAGAGCTTACAACTTGCTATTCCCCCTCCAGTCATCAGTATGACTTAGCTGCAAATGTCTTCCTATGGCTATATGGTTTAACACATTTCTAAATAGATAAAACTTTTTTAGACATCTAGAACCAAGAGTCCCTTCTGAGCCATGACTTTATTATGGGTACTAAAAATCTCTAATCCTTCATTTATCCTAATGTAAAATCCATTCCATCTCTGATTTATATTTTTACTTTCAAGCAGAATCACCCATATGCCACATTCATGATGAAAAGGATTTTTTCTCCTGTACAGAAATGTCTGGTTGTCCTTCATGTTTTGGTTTATGTCCACAGACTTTTAATTCTAGCATTCTCTTTCATCAGTCTTTTATAATTTTAAAAAATTATCTCATCCTCGTCAGGCAGCTCAGTTGGCTAGACCATGGTCCTGATATGTAAAGGTTGGCGGTTTGATCCCCGGTCAGGACACAAAGAAGAATCAACCAATGAATACATAAATAAGTGGGGAAAAATTACCTCAATATCCTTACATTGGCTTCTTTAAAATTTAAAAATTGCTTTATGTCACCTTTTCCATCTCTATATCATGTTATAATTAACTGATTCTCCATACTTGTTAGATTATAAACTTGGTAGGAAAAAGAATTTACTAATCCTGGTACACATCATATATACATATGATCTATCTATTTTGTCTAGCAATTGGTAACAAGGCAACTAATGCAAAGTGAAACGTTGCTTATTAGTTGGTTTAAATACCTTTAAGACTTGTTTTCATTTTTTCAAGCACAGAAGTGTAAATGAGGTTAGAATAAAAAAAAAAAATTTGGGAATGAAGGTAGTACGGATTTTCTCCAGGAAACCCGTTTTAAACAACTGCAAATTTCGGAGTTTCCTTCAGATTAATTAGAATATCTGGATTGTCCCCAAAATAGGTTACTCTGGAACACAGTAGCTAAATTCTAGTCAATTATTCCACTCTTGGCTCAAATACCTTAAAATGACCCTGAGAACTAATAATCATAGAGCACAAAGTTATTCAACAAAATTCAGGAAAAAAACAAAAAATATTATTCAGCCCTAGTTGATTTGGCTCAGTGGCTAAAGCATTATTAGCCTGCGAACTGAAAGGTCCCAGGTTCAACTCTGGGCAAAGGCACATTCCTGGGTTGTGGGCTTGATCCCCAGTTGGGGACTTGCAAGAGACAGCCGATCTATGATTCTCTCTCATCATGGATGTTTTCTATCTTTCTCTCCCTCTTCCTTCCTCTCTGAAATCAATAAAGATATATTTTTTTTAAATCAAACTTATTAAAAAACATATCATTCAGGTATGCTTTATACATACCAGTTTGGCTTGTGCTTCGGCAATTTTTCGGTTATTCTCTTCCAGTATTCGCTCTAGCTCCTCACGTTTTGCACGTTCTTCCTCCTAAAGGGGAGGACATGTTAAGATGTTAGAAAAATAAAATGTTTAATTTTACTGATAAATATTTACTAATCTTCCTCTGAACTTTTTTGATCTGATTTACAGGGTAGCTTTATATAAAGCTACCTTCTGTCTGACAAATGATAAACTGTGCAGCCACTAAAATTTGTTTCTAACCCTAAATTGCAATCATCCCTCCCAGTCCAAACAGCAACCGACTAAACCCTCCCTAATTGATAGTTTCCTGACAATTATTACTAGTACTTTAATATCACACAAATCAACAAGGACAACTAACAAAACTGGAATAGTATTTACCAAATTAAAAAAATAATATAAAATATAAATAAAGTGAATATTTGTCTCACCAATTATGTATACCTACGTATTCTTTACCTATACTCCTTTAATCAGCATTAAAAGTTGAATATTTACTGTCTTGTCCAGTGTCCTGCAGAGTGTGCTCCTCGGCTGCCATACACGCCAGCTTCCTCTTTAAAATGATTTGTACTGTTAGCTTGGCAATACCTGCATCAGCAGCTCAACCATTTATAAACAACATACAAGGAAGGCTGAGCTGAGGAATGCAGATGTTTATGGTAAGAAGGAACAAAAAATGTAATTCATCATTCCTAAGGCAAACAATTAATAAGAAAAATACATTTACTGTTAGTGAAAAATACAAATGGTAATCCATACTTCATGGAACTAAGGGCTTCTTCCATGGGGAAAATGGACTTAACATTCAGATGTTGACAATTTCTAAAGGCAGCTTATCTTGTCATCTACAGTCTGAACTGAAATTCAGGAATCCATGGGGTGCATAGTCAGGAAATAAAATTCTGAAGTTTATTTTTTCTTGGAGAATTTAATGAGATTTTTATAATGCAAACTATATGAAGATTGCTCGATGGTTTGGGCAGTGTTAAGATCACAGCATACATATTCAAATGATTTTAATATTTGGAAAGACTGGCAGAGGGATGTGTCCGTGTAAAAAAAAAATATTGTTAATATGAAACAAAAAGCACATGAAGAGAAAAAAATCTTCCTATGATTAATAACTCGCTACAACACAGCACCATTACTCCAAAAATATGTTCATAATTAAAAGCCCTGATACAAAAATTTCATACATTCAATTGCATCAAGTCTGTGATGTCCACCAAATACAGACATGTATATGTAGTTAAAGACAGCACAAGGGAAAATACATTTGAAAAGCTAAACTTACTGAAAACAGAAATTAATGTCAATTTGTCCACAATAATGCCAGGACTAAAAATGGCAAAGAAGCATATATTTTGAGTCAAATATTTAAATTCAAGAAAATATAACTATATGATTTCCAGTGGCACACACCAATTAAATTCATATTCACTATGGAAACTAGGTTGAGGGACACTCAGTGCTATAATCTGCTTTGAGTGTGTTTCAGAGACTTTCAACAAGTTTTAGGATCCTGGAGTAATCAGTGCAAATAAGCCATAAAGCTTCAGTAGCAAATTACTGTCTCACAGAAAGACATTTTCAGCTTCTGCTCCAGCTGCTGATAAAACAAATCATGTGTTTAGCTTGACTCCAGACAAGGACAACCTGTTCCTTCATAACTCTCTAAAGGAAAAAAGGAGTTGTTAGTAGATACTAAAAAGTGGATGAATAATATGGACATTTTTTCCTAAAAAGATTCTTTGAAACACATTAGGAAAATGGAGGGCCTTATGATCAAAACACTAGAATTAGTCCATTGTGTTGAAGCAGAATTTGGGGTAGGAGATGAGGGATAAAAGAAGGGAAAAAAGGAGCAAGAAAACCTATTTATCAAAAGCAGGTGCTCTCATCACTCAATGTTAGTCCCTGCTCTTCTTAATCTGACTGAAGGCAAAAGCCTCTCACAGTCTAGGTAATAAGAACGATAAACAGAAAAGAATACATAACCACAGGTGGATTTTTAACCTTTTCCTTTTACAACTCCCTGTGTCCCCCCATCCTCCCAAAAAAGAGTGTAAGTCCTGCAGCCATGGCAAAAGTTTCAAACACTTCTCAAATATGTAAGCCAGTTCCATTAAATCAAAAAGTTTCCTTGAATATGTTTTATGAAAATAACTTTTAAATATCAGTCAGCACTTCTGCATAGCTAAAAAATTAACTTTCGCAGCAATGTTAAGTTTAGATGAGAAAGGAATTAGTCTGTATTCCATCTCTTTCTGAACTGAGCAGGAGGCACAACCAAAACTGAAAGTTTTGCCATGGACTGTCTCTACTTTCCAAACGACCGAGCGTTACCTCTCTGGCTTTTTGTGCTGCAAGCTCAGCTTGTCTCTGTCGCTCGAGTTCTTCGAGCAACTGCTTTTCCATGATGCGCTTGGCTTCCTCCACCCTTCGGAGAACTTCTCGCTCAATTTCATCCTTCCTTTTCTCCAATTCTTCCTCTACCCTTTTTGCTACCAATTCTTCCACTCTTCGTGCTGTTTCTTCCTCGATGAGTTTTTCTTCTATTTCCTGCTGCCGGCTAGCAAACAAAAATGGGGGAAAATGACTTAGATAATATAAGAAATAAACCTAAAAATTAAAACTATCTGTAAATCTGTAAAACATTGAACCTGATTATAGGTTTCTATGATTTTACAATTCATTTTCATGCAACATTCAAGGATATAATAGAAATAATGATGTTAAGTGATACAGAAATTAAACATAAAAGCATGTTTTTTTCCATCACTTTCTGAAATTAAAGACAGTATATACAAGAGCTTACTTCACCAGTTTTTATTTAGAAATGTAGACCAAATGTGAAACAGGAAATCCACTTTTGTTATCAACTTTACAATGAAAAGACAAACTGTAAATACTACTATATGGATTTGCTTATTTGCCAATCCACCCAGTTTAAGGGTTGGGCTGCAAAGAAGTCAGGAACAATCATTATGTAGCAAATACTAATAATTCAGACCAGAAAAACTCATTACCCTCTTCTCCCTCCAGGCAAAGTCAGAATACAGACTCAGAGTTTCAGAGTGCCAAGGCAATAGTTGTATAACATTTTAGTGAAAATATACCTTACTCAGATTCTGTACTTCACTGTATCTTTTATTTAATTGGTTTTCAATTAAAAGTTCTTCTAGAGATGGAAAGTGGATAAAAATGTATTATCAATTCTATTAAAAAGCCAACTGAACCATAATACTGATTTATTTTAACTCCATTTTGATATTATGAATCAACTTACTTAAAATTCTGCACTGAAAGTACTGTCATTTATCAAGTCAGCATAGTGGAAACCTTATTTTATACCACTGGTGTCCAGTGATTGCCTCACACATATCTAGATTGAATTGAAAACCAAAACACAAAAAAAGACCTCATTTCTTTTTTTTTTTAATATATTTTATTGAGAGGAAGGGAGAGAGACAGAGCTAGAAACGTTGATGAGAAACATCGACTAGCTGCCTCCTGAACACCTGCTACCAGGGATGTGCCCGCAACCAAGGTACATGCCCTTGACCGAAATCGAACCCGGAAACCTTTCAGTCTGCAGACCTATGCTCTACCACTGAGCCAAACCAGCTTCGGCTCATTTCTTTATTTAATTACATCAAATGACAATATTTTGAGATTGACTGGAAATATATTAAAATTAATTTCACTGGTTTTTTGTTTAATAAAGTGAGCATTAAACACACAAATCCACTTCAACTATATTTTGGGGGGTGATTCAATTTCCACTCTAGCGCTTTCATTCTTAATTCCTGTTACTCAGAGTGATACCATTCTAATACTGATTTACCTTTCACATTCTGATTCATGTGAAAGATATTTTTACATTTAAAATATCTACTATTTTTCTGTCAAGATAGCAGCTACTTGAAAAAGCATAACTTCTTTTAGTTTCTAGGAATTTTAAAAATCTATTTTGAAGGTTATTTCGTTTTACTTTTTATTACTGACACTATTACAAACACCCCCATTTACCCCCACTTTGCCCACTCTACCCAGCCCCCGCCCTTCCTTCCCTCTGGCCATCACCACACTGTTGTGTTGCTTTTAAAAAAAAAAAATAACTACTCCTGCCGAAACCAGTTTGGCTCAGTGGTAGAGCGTCTGCGGACTGAAAGGTCCCAGGTTTGATTCCGGTCATGGGCATGTATGTTGGTTGCGGACTCATCCCTGGTAGGGGGTGTGCAAGAGGCAGCTGGTCGATGTTTCTCTCTCATCGCTCTCTCTCTCCCTTCCTCTCTGTAAAAAAATCAATAAAAATATATTTTTAAAAAAAACTACTCCCACATTAGTGATTTTTATTTTAAAAAGTCACAAAAGCCTAACATGCTCTAACTAGAATTTTCTTTAACTCCTCTTTAATATCCAATAAAATACAGCATTAGGGTATAAACATTATAGCTGTTCAGTAAGAGGATACCTACCCCAGCTAGGAATGTCTAAAGGAAATCAGGCAGCAATTTCAATGGAAATTAAACTACATTTCAAATAGAAAATTTCTGTTTATCTACTTCATCCAGAAAAAAATAAATAAAAGATAAAACAAGACTGACAGCTGCTAAATCTGGATGAAGGATGCATTAAGCTTATAATATCCTCTCTACCTTTGCATTAAGTTGGAAAGTTTTCATAACACAAAGTTTTAAAAGTATACATGCCCACATATACATAATGTGTTAGTTGGTTCTTATGCAATTAGTAAATGTAGAGAAATCCAAGAAGAAACTTTATAATGGTACAATTCAACTCTTAAAGGAAGGACAATGTAAAAAGTTCCAATTAAAATTTTCCATGTAAAGTAAAAAAAAATGAAAAGAACAGGATAAAGCTTTGGTTAGCTTATCAATAGAAAAGTTGCCAACAAATTAACTTAGAAATTTGGTAATGGTAAAAAGACCTGATACAGATCCAGAGGTTTTGTCAACCAGTTTCTAAGTAATAGCAATACCACAGGGGCTAATAGGGCCTCATTTTCATAGACAAGTATGTAAGCAAGCAAGCAAGGAGAAAAGGAGCCTAAATAAATTCAGTTTATCACTTACAGCAAAAGCCAGATCAGCATGGTATTAGCTCTCCCATGTCTTTGCTCCCACTGATGGATACCAAACCACAGGGGCTGGGTGACAGGTACCACAAGCACAGGTAGTGGGTTGCTCTGCTGCTAAGAAGTAAATTCTAACTACAGCTCAGCAGTTTTATAGCCTGAAGGGGAGGGCAAGTGGAAAGTCCCAAGCTCAACTAATACAGGGAAGATGAGAAATGGCCTCATAGAATTTCTCACAAGTCTGCTTATCTCCCTCCCTTTGTTCCTGGAGGAGCAGTCCACCATGACCATAATTAAGCCTGCTGCTGTGTCCAACTGGGAGAAAGGCTAGGAAGGTTACGACCCTACAACAGAACTGTTCCCCCATGAGTAGTATCAAGAACATAATCTTTGTTGTTGCTGTTATTCTTGGTAAGGTTAAAATTACTATTCCAGTAAATTAGAAAACAAAACAAAACATTTTAATCAATTTTTAGATCTAGCGCTGAAAAAGCTAAAATCTAATATTGATTTAATTCTCCTCGCCATAACATTGAATTCAGAAAACCAAAGGGCACTTGTACAACTGAATTAAGCATGAGTTAATCTTTATTGATGACAAATTTACCATAATCAATGATAAAGCAGCTCTTACACTAACTCATAAGAGGCATCGAAACTTTCTTAAAATAAGCACTTTTGTTACCTTATAAGAGATGTATTATCTAATATCATTGCCTATCCACTCCCTAATACTTTTGACATAGGATTGTCAGTCTCTTGATGTTCTTTTATCTCTCTCATCTTTTCAAGCTCTTCTGCAGAGTCCATTTCCCTGCCTAGATTTTGGGGCACTGATGAAAGAGATGATAAAAATTTTCAAGTTTTTCCATGGAAATGGCATAACATTAGTTCTCCTTTTTCTCCATGCTCTCAGGTGTCTTAATAACACTACTCACGATCAATTTTAAAATGGCAACTATTAAAATATCAAGAGCCCAGAGAAATAGCAACTAAAGGATATCACGAATTTGTACAGAGCAGCCTGAAATATTATTTTTAAATCTCTTTAAAATGTATGAACTCAAGCCTAGGAGCTTAATTCTCTTATTACCAAAAAACATTTACTAAGTATTGAGTAGGTACCAAATACTCTGCCAACAGCTTTATTTACCACTAGAGGCCTGGTGCACAAATTCCTGCACAGGTGGGGCCGATCCAGCCCCCTGGTCTAACTCCAGGTTGAACTCCAGGTTGGTGGAGGGGACAATTTGCATATTAGCCTTTTATTATATAGGACGTCATCATCTACATAGATCTTTGATGCTTCCTGAGGCTAAGAAGGTTACTAACTGGGCTATACCTCATTGCACGAGCTAAAAGGTGTGATTCTCAATTTGGGTAGACTTCCAAAGCTAATGGTCTTAAGCCCTATAATAGCCTTCGTTGTTTCTCCAGGACCAAAGTGAGAGACAAAGTCATACATAACGATCTAAATACAAAAATAATTATTTTAAAAATTCATAAAATTCTTGTTAAGAATTTTAGATTTTAGAATTTAGCTGATTTTAGAATATAGCTAGATCGTAGGCCTTGATGCCCTCATCTCCCCTAAATACATAGTTCCATCTACTAAGTTTGCTTACAAATTCTGCTCTCACAAGTTCAAGTATTCTCTTCAAATAAGCACTCATATATATCCCATGTTCAGTTTAGATATTCTAACGTAGCAAGCTTCCGATTGGTCATGCAGTTAAACACTAAGCCTACTGGAATCTAGGTATCACCAATTATCATTTTCCTGATTTACTGCAAGTCATTTTCAGCTGTCCACTTTTCATCAGTTAATACAACATGCATACAGCATCTCAAAAGATAATATATGAAAATGATAATAAGAGTGCAGGGGATGGCAGAAAGGGAACCACACTAAATGGGTGGTTCTTGGGGAGGAGAGGCAGAACTTTTGAACTGAATTTTGAACCAGGTGAATTAGCTATGTAAAAAGGGGGGAAATCTTTTATTGCATTAAGATTGTAACTTGTAAGATCATTTCTTAAGTTCCGCTCAATATGGCTGCATTTACATAAATTATATTAAACAACATTACTTATTGAGGCCCATTATATGCCAAGCATTGTTTTGATAATTTAAATGCACAATTTCTAATCTTCACAATAAGCAAGGCAAGTATCTTTGTTTCAGATAAAAAATCAAACTTACAGGTAGGTGATTTATTCAAGGCCTCAGAATTGTTAAAATGGCAAAGCAATCTGGTTTCCATCCTTACCACAAACTTTCTAATTAATTAGTTAAGCCCAACAAAAGATTCTAATTTTGCTGGCTCTCTCCCTGGCACACTGGACCTCTTGAAGGTACACTTGACACTAGGCGTTCTTCTGGTACCTTTTCTCAGCTTCTCCCTTACCCAACCCAATTGTAAATACAAACATTCCCTAAGGCTCTTTCAATCCCTGGAACTAACTGCTCTTTTCCACCCTCTCCAGGGGTCATTCCACTCTCAAGGTTCCCCCAGGTTTGTCCCTGTATCAACCTTTTGTGTAAACCAACTATATCCAAAAATTAGTGCCTACAGTGGAAGGGTGAAACAGAAAACTCCCTTTGATTTTCCCTCCTTCTGGTTTTTGACATTTTAACCAGTGTCTGAGACACAGTAGTTAAACATTTGGTGACTGAGATGTAATAGCCACAATATAAACATGAACCAACATTATTACTGTTTTCTTTCCCTATGTTTCATGTCCAATGTTATTTGTTCTAAATGTTTAAATCTCTCTTTGGCATTCCCACAACTACTCCTCCACTACTCCTGTGTGTACTTACTATAACTAGTTTCTTCCCTAATAGAGCAATCAGGGATCTATTGTTTTGTTTGTTTGTTTTTATAAAAGGCCTCATGTCATTTACCTGCTTAAAACCTTTTGTTTCTGGGTGAAATCCAAGCTCCTTAATATGGCATACAAGACCCTTCCCATGATTCCCAGCTTCTACTTGACCTTTCCAGTTACTCCATGACTTAGTATTTACAGAACTTCATGTTCCAATTAATATTCACCTTTTTACTCCACAAATATCCTTCTAGGCCTACCCTGACAATCTCTATTTTTATCCACCACTCATTCCTTAGGAGAACTAAAGTGTTGACCCATCCAAGATACTTCTACCTTTCTATAGTCACATCACTATCACTGAATTGGTACCTATGTCTTCCAGTTAGATCAAGATCTTGGAGAGGGGTCAATCTTTATACCGTTTCCCCAAAAATAAGACAGTGTCCTATATTAATTTTTTCTCCCAAAATTGCGCTAGGTCTTATTTTCAGGGGATGTCTTATCTTTCCGTGCGCTAGGTCTTATTTTCGGGGAAACACGGTATTAACAGCACCTAGTACACTGCCTGGCACAGTAAATGCTCCATAAATTGGGTAGTTGTCAGTGGTTGGCAAACTGCGGGTTGGGAGCCACATGCTGTTCTTTGGCCCCTTGAGTGTTTAGCAAAGGCCTGCTTAGTGGTACCCTAATTAATAACAATGTACCTACCTATATAGTTTAAGTTTAAAAAATTTGGCTCTCAAAAGAAATTTCAATCGTTGTACCGTTAATATTTGGCTCTGTTGACTAATGAGTTTGCCGACCACAGAACTAACCAACAAGGATTTGCAAATAGGAGAGTTCTGCCCATTCTCTTGGCTCCAAAATCTGGGTCTTTCCTTTATTTCTTTTGCGTTATTTCAAAGGCATTGGACCGTATTTAGTAGTGTCCACACCATGACACAAGAATTCAGTGTAAAGGCTGCTAGCTCTGCCCATTCCTTCCTTTATAAATGCTAAAGATGGTTTGCTTTTCCTATCAACTTGGAACTACATAGCTGCTCTATTTTCCAATTTTCATCCCTGGACTTCTCTGCTATTTATGTGCTGCTCACAGCTAAATGATTCTAACTATTCATAGCATACCACATTTCCTCTCACTTGTCCTAAAGTCTTAGCTTTCTAGGGAATGGAAAGTGTCTTTGGAGGTCTCCTTTGCTTTCACATGAAAAACGTATGCAATATCTTAGGCAATTTTAATAAATATCCATCCTGTTGATAGTTATTTGAGAGCTACATGTTTATAGTTAATCTTGTTCCAGACCAAAAACCTGGGTTCTATATAATCAAGGTTTGTTGTGAAACAATTACTTGTACTTGCTTTTCATATATATCACTGAAAGTTCTGAAAAATAAAGGAAAGTTGAAAGCATTGCTTACATTTTAAAAGAATGCAGCAAAATATCCTCTCCAAATACTGCATTCTCTGTAATATTAGTGTTCCAGTCCCCTACCTCTTAATAACTTTGCTCTTAGAAACAAGGTTTGCTGAAAAATCTACATAATACAAACCTAAATGCACAAAAAACACACACACAAAAAAAAGCACACAATTTAGTACACATCAACTAAAAGGGAAATTGTCTCAGGAAAATTTTAAAGTTCCTGCCTCATGAGCATTTCTAAAAGTGCCCTGAAGAAAGGAGGAAGACAGCTAGTTAAAAGGCGGAAGTGAACATACTACCTAACTCTACCTTTCAGCCTAACTGTGGGAAAGGAGTATCCAGAGCAGGGTACCAACATTAAAGGCTACATTTTAAACGCGGAAGTTCCTTAGTTTGGGATTATTTACATCTACCCTTGAATCAAAGGATACCTGAGAAATACATTTTACCCAACAGGACTTTCTGCACGTGAGTAAAATCTAAAAAACATCAAGTACACTACAAGGGGAAACGAATGTCAAAACGGTACCGAAGTTTGCTCCAGAAGCATGTAACTCAGAGCTAATAAAAAGCACTCAGCAGTTAAGAGCAGACTGATTGGGATGGTGCTCCTCAGATGAATTCAAGCGTCACAACTGAGTGTACGGCACACTGAAGGTGGGGGTACAATTGTTTTTACACCTCAAATCACAAAACTGTAAAACGGAAAAGCAGCCGAGACATGTGAAACTACTAGGAATACATTAAAATAGGAGGTGGTGGGGGGTGGGTACTGTTGGACCCAGACCTAAAAAGTTATCTTATTTCGGAGAAGCCCAGTCCCAAAGGTAAGCGGCAATGCAACCATGCTCTGGGGCAGCTGCGATTTGCATCCCACGGGTGAGTTCCCCTCTGTTCCCCTCCTGCGGGTGTGCAAAAGCTCTGCAAAAAACACGGGTCCCCGGGCTGGTTCGCCGCTCGCCCTCGCGGCCACGCAGCTCCCCGGCCCCACGCGGAACTCCACCCCCTGCTTCCTGCACTCCCCTCCACCCTCCTCTGGCGCCAAAATCGCGTGCTCCCCTCTCCTGCTCCAGCCCCACTCTCTTCCTCCCCATCCCACTCCGGGGTCAGGTCCAGCCCCGGGCTCCCCAGAGGGTCCTCGCCACCCCTCCCCGCCTCCCCCACAGCCCCCGGCGCGGCCTCCATCCATCCCCCTCCCCTCCCCTCCCCTCCCCCGCGGGCGCTCACATTTTTCGCTGCCGCTCGAACTCGGCTTTCTTCTCCTCCTCCTCCCGCTTCTGCTTCTCGTCCAGGCTGCTGCGCTTGCTCACCGTGCGCCCGAAGATGTCGATGCGGTCGGGCGGGGACGAGGCGCGCTCCCGGTCCCGCTCGCGCCGGGACACGGCCGTGTTGGTGGAGCGGGAGCGGGACCGCGACTCCCGCCGCCGGTTCCGCTTACTCTCCCGGGACTTGGAGCGCTTCCGCACGCGCTCCTTGTCTCGGGACCGCGACCGGGACCGGCTGCGCTTCTTGTTGTGCTTGCTGCTCTTGGTGTGCTTGGAGCGGGACGAGCTGCGGCTCCGGGACCGGCCCATCCTGTCCGGGCGGCGCTGGCGCCTAACCGCTGGCCTCAGCCCCGCGCGCGCCTGGGACGCTCTCGCCTGGGAACCTCCGGACGCGGGCCGGCCGTCTCGCTGGAGCCGGGGGAAGGAAGGCCGTCAGCCGGCTGCCTTTCCGTCACTCCCGCGGGCGCACGGCCGCCACGAAGGCCACCTCCAAAGACAAGGCCGCAGCACCAGGAGTTACTAAAGATGGCAGCCGCTGCTGCACCGGCCGCCCTTCCCACAATGCCCCGCGCGGAGCGCGCAGTCGCGCGAGCCCCGCCCCCCCGGGCGATTGTTGCCGAAGGCGAGGCGGGCGCTTCCGAGCGCTCTCGGCTCCTTCCGAAGGCGAGGCGGGCGTTTCCGAGCGCGCTCGGCTCCTTCCGCCGGCCCCCGCGCCCCTCCCAAAGCGTAGGAGCCGAAGTTCCTGGCTTCAGCTAAGAAGAGAACACTTTTTTTTTTTTTTTTTTTTTTTGCTTTCTGGTAAGATTGGCCAACACCTTTTAAGAATGAACCGAATACGTTGAGGTGCGAACGAAATCATGTCTTGGCATGAACGGACTGCCTTATTTTTTCTAGGATCTGGTTTTGTCAGGCCGCCCTAAGTTACATCAGAGTGACCCTTAGAGCAGGTCTCTTGCTTCTCTGAGCTTAGCTTCCTCATTTGTAACAGGGGAGGTGACCACACGTTATGACACATGTGTCATAAAGTTTATGAGATGGTTGTGAGGCTTACAGGAGATAAAATGCGCTTTGATAAATGGGAGCCTATGCTTAATACGGGCCTCCATGTGCCATTGTTTTCAATGCTTTGCATTTATTAACAGGGGTTTAATTCTCATTTTAGGGATGGGTACCCTGACGTCCAGAGGGTAAAGTTAGTTGCCCAGGTCACACAGCTAGCAGGTGACAGAGCAGCCAGTGTTGGAAATCTTTGCACATAACCAGCAGCCCCACCAAGCCCTAGCCAGGAAAGCTGTATTCCTACATAGTACAACAAACTGCTCCTGTCCTTTCAAACAAGCAATACCCTATGAAAAGTGAAATAAAAACATTTTCTCTACAGTGGCAAGGAAAACTATAAAATACTTTGGAATTAAATTTAACAAGTAAAAAGATCCTGATGACAAAATCCCTAAACCTTTGTTGAAAGCCTGAGTAAATGAAAGCCAATGCGCGCTTTTTTAGTGAAAAGTCAGTATCAAAAATATGCCAGTTCACCGAAACCGGTTTGGCTCAGTGGTAGAGCGTCGGTCTGCAGACTGAAAGGTCCCAGGTTCGATTCCGGTCAGGGGCATGTACAGTCAGGGACATGTACATTGGTTGCAGGCACATCCCCAGTAAGGGGTGTACAGGAGGCAGCTGGTCGATGTTTCTCTCTCATCGATGTTTCTAGCTCTCTATCTCTCCCTTCCTCTCTGTAAAAAAATCAATAAAATATATTTATTTTTTAAAAAAATGCCAGTTCTTCCCAAATCAGATGACAAAATGAGCACAATTTCCATCACAGAGCCAAATTCTCTTGAGGATGAATTACAACTAAATAATTTTAAATGTTATATGGAAAATAACACAGTCATGAATTATAAAGAAAACCTTGAAAGAAAAGAGTAGTAAGGGTTTGCCCTATAAAAAAAAAAAAAAAAAAATTTAACACACCCTGTCCAGTGTGGCTCAGTGGATAGAGCGTCAGCCTGCGGACTCAAGGGTCCCGGGTTCAATTCCGGTCAAGGGCATGTACCTTGGTTACAGGCACCTCCCCAGTAGGGGGTGTGCAGGAGGCAGCTGATCGATGTTTCTCTCTCATTGATGTTTCTAATTTTCTATCCCTCTCTCTTCCTCTCTGTAAAAAATCAATAATATATATATATTTAAAAATGTTTCCTCCATTCATCTTTGAATAATTATAACCAAACACAAGTAGCATGTTATTCAAAAACATGTATTTCTAAAGAATAATCTTCTAATGTAGAAATTACCAAGGAGATGCCTGTATTTATTTTTCTTTCTTATTCTTTATTAATTTTCAACACCTTTTATCAACTTTTCAGAATATGAGTTGTATCTTTTTTTTTAAAATAAATCTTTATTGTTCAGATTATTACAAATGTGATCCTCTTCCCCCCCTCTGAGTTGTGTCTTGTAACGTGTTAATGAAGCTTCATTTCCTCAGGTCGTAAATACTGAGTACCTAGTTCGTGCAAAATATTGTGCTAATGGTTAATAGATTTATACCTATGCTTAAGAAACAGGCAGAGCCGAAACCAGTTTGGCTCAGTGGATAGAGCGTTGGCCTGGGGACTGAAGGGTCCCGGATTCGATTCCTGTCACAGGCATATACCTTGGTTGCAGGCACATCTCCAGTGGGGGGCGTGCAGGAGGCAGCTGGTCGATGACTCTCTCATCAATGTTTCTAACTCTATATCCCACTCTCTTCCTCTCTGTAAAAAATCAGTAAAATATATTAAAAAAGAAAAAAGAAATAGGCAGAGCCCTTGGCACCAAGTACCAAACTCTGAGTAGCCTGCTTATCAGTCTTTGCTGTTTCTGAGATAATCTTCCTATCTTTTCCCTAAGCTATTTGAAATCCCATTTATACCCATCCTTCCCTACCCCACTCAGTCCCCTGCCCCTTGGCAAGTTAGTTCTCCTTGGCAGCACTTTTCATTCATAGTTGTAATTTTTAGAAAATGTTAATTAGTTATTTCACATTCATCTCTCTTATGAAAAAGTGAGCTTCTCAAGGGAAGGGGAGGGACCTTTCCTCCCCTTTTGAATCTAGAACTTTGCACGTGGGAAGCATTGGACAAAACGTAATTTGAAATGGTAAACAGGGAATGAGTTACCTGTCTTCCCTTAGAAACCTTAAACCATTGCTTCTTAGACAATTCAAGATTACAGAATATTACGTAGTTTGAACGTAGAAAAACTGATTGCCATCACAGCTTTGGCAATAAAATTAGCAAAATTCTGGTTTTCAAAAAAGCTAACTTTTGATTCAATTCAGAATGTATGGTTCTATGTAAAACATACTGCTTCTCCCTCCCCCTCCCCACCAATAAAACAAATGTTACTCTTACTCTTCACCTAAAACTATTGTCAGGAGGCCCTATGGTAGGCAAGGTTAATTGTAAAATTGTATGTATGTTCCTATGCAAATATTAAGGGGAAGACAAAAGCCACGTTTGCCCAAGAAACAGAAAGGAAACGCTTTGCTCAGAGAGCAGGAAAAAATATTTTCAGATGGAGAGAAACACACACAAATAACCCTAGCAGCAACAAATGCAGAGATCTCTATCTGTTCTCCTCAGATGCCTGAAGAGCAAGGCAGCAGAAAGTCAAGGGAAGCCTTCTGGGAACTTGTTGAGACTGGCTGGTGGCTGGAGCTGACTGTGAGATGGGGGTGTGAACTTGGCAGGCCCTGACGTGGAGCCAGTCCAAAGTGGGAGGCCAAATTTAGTGTCAAATAAGGAACAAATCCTGACTTAGTGAGGAGAGACTTTATTCAAAAGGATTATTGAAAGAGCTAGCGTGGGGGTGGGAAGACTATCACGAAAGGGAGAGGGCGGCCTATGGAAATAGGGGGAATGTCCTGACAATAAGACCTGCAAGTGTCTCCAAAGTTAGGCAAAAAAGGGTTTTCTTTCTTTTTTTTTTTTTAATTTCTTTTTTTCTTTATTTTTTTTACTGTGAAGTCTTAAAGTAATAAACTGTGCATATGAAATTGTCTCATTATCAAATTCACGGATAAGAAAAAAGCCAATTTAAATAATTGAACAATGTACAAATATGTATTTAAAATACTACATATTTACACATCTGCAATAACATAGGCAGCTACACACAGAAAATTATCCTCCCTTATAGACTCAAAGAACTTCTAAGTATCTTAAAAGAGAGTAAAAAAGGCTAGAAAGTAAAACAAAATTAGAGAAAAACACCTATCTACATATATCTATATCTATCTATCTATCTATCTATCTATCTATCTATCTATCTATCTATCTATCATCTATCTAAAAAGCCAGCAACCAGAATGACTAGTTGCTATGACGCCCATTGTGGCCAGCAAACCAGCTGGATCTGGGGTGGTACTGGCCAGCCAACCTCCCGAGACCCCTCCCCCTGGCCATCCCCGCCCCTAATGGGCCTGCCTCACCCTGATCGGCCCCTAGCCCCTCCCCCAGCCAGCTCCAACCTTGATCCGCCTTCCCACCCCAATAGGGGGTGAGGCTGGCTGCCCAACCTCCTGCAGCCCTTCCCCCCAGCCAGCCCCACCCCAGATGGGCCCTCACCACCTCCATCAGGGGAAGAGCTGGTTGGCCAACCACTCATGGCCCCTCCCCCAGGTTGCTGGCCCCCAATTGGCCCTCCCCACCCCATTCGGGGCAGGGCCATCTGACACACAGCCCTTTCCCATGATCGGCCCCACCCCCAATCAACCCCCACCACCCGAATCAGCCCTCCCCCTCTCCCCCCACCAGGCCTGGCCCTGATCAGGCCAATTGGGGCAGACTGGCCAGACCCCATCTGTGCACGATTTTGTACAATGGATCTCTAGTTTACGTTATAAAGTAAATCAGCAATACATTACTTTAGAGCAGAGAAGCCCCTCATTTGCTGTTTTATTTTTTTTTTTATTATTTTATTGATATTTTACAGAGAGGAAGAGAGGGATAGAGAGTTAGAAACATCAATGAGTATCATCGATTAGCTGCCTCTTGCACATCCCCTACCGGAGATGTGCCCACAACCAAGGTGCATGTCCTTGACAGGAATCGAACCCGGGACCTTTCAGTCCGCAGGCCAATGCTCTATCCACTGAGCCAAACCGGTCCCGGCTGCTGTTTTAAAATACTTTTAAAAGTAAAGCTGTATTTTTTCAACAAAAAAAATTTTACCCCACAGTAAACAGTATTATATATATGTGATTAATTGTCTAGATACTTGCTTGGGAATTACACAGCTAAGCAATTGTTTATCATCTGAAAATCCTGTGACATTTAAGAAAGAAAAACCTCTTGGGATTGCCTTATATTTGTTCCTCAAAGAATCTGTGCTATAAAAAGTTAAACTTTAAAACCAGGTTTTAATTCATTTTTCTCCTCAGATCGATTATAGTATTTTGGCATTAGCCTCAAGTGAAATAAAATAGACTAGGAATGATTTTTTTCTCTTCATTCCCCATTTAAAAGCCCCATTAGAAGGGGGAGGGGGTGGAATTAGTGTTTATATTTCAACTGCTGCGTAACTAACC